TTGTAAGCTTAGCCTTAAGCTTTGGCTTGCGCTTAGGATGCTTAGGCTTAGGTATCTGCTTGGGCTTAAGCTTATGCTGAGGCTTGGGCAAGCAAGCAAGCTAGCACAGATCATTTGTGACGATAGCCAGACCTCGCAGAGCCGGTGGGGCGAGCTAGCCGGGCTGGCCGACTAATTTAGCTTAGAATTTGGTGGCACCATCCCTTTAGCCAGCTATCCGACAGGGGTAGGCTAGCAGAAATCATTGGGGGATCCCAGGAAACCCTGTAAATAGTCCATTTCCATTCCACCCCACTTTAATTCCCCTCGTAAATAGGTGTGGATCGTTGTCGACGGCTCGGGGCCAGTGCGCGCCAATTCATTGGGTGAATACTCGAATCGTCGGTGTTTCTCGCTCTCTCACTCTCTCGCTCTCTCGCTCCCTCATTCTCTCGGCCAAATCATCTGCGGGCTGTATATAGGAGGGGTGTTGAAGGGGGTAAATTGGCCGACAAACAGCCTCCCTACAGTCGAACACAAATAATCGGGAATGATCAATCACAGGGCGAACGAGAGAGAGAGAGAGAGAGAGAGAGAGAGAGAGAGAGAGAGAGAGACCGTACCTGTCCCCGGGCACTAAAACACCCGGCCCGATCACATCTTATGACCCACACGCACTCACACTCTTAGGGCCCATACTTGGCGAGCGGATTATGGGACGGGTAGGCGCTTGTGTTTGACGCGGCCGGCGTGTAGGATCGGGAATGTGTTAACTCGAGAGTTGGGAATTGGGGATTTCCTAAATGGTTTCTGATAGCCTGCCCTTTCCTAAAGAATCTCTGCTAGTCTGCCTTTTCCTGAAGAATATCTGCTAACCTGCCCTTTCCTAAAGAATCTCTGCTAGCCTGCGCTTTCCTAAAGAATATCTGCTAGCCTGCCCTTTCCTAAAGAATCTCTGCTAGCCTGCCCCTTCCTAAAGAATCTCTGCTAGCCTGCCCTTTCCTAAAGAATCTCTGCTAGCCGGCCCTTTCCTAAAGAATCTCTGCTAGCCTGCCCTTTCCTAAAGAATCTCTGCTAGCCTGCCCTTTCCTAAAGAATCTCTGCTAGCCTGCATGGCGTAAAGAATCTCTGCTAGACTGCCCGGATGAATTTTCTTTCCGTTTTACACCAAAAAACAGTCCAGCTGCAAGAATGGTCAGATTATAATTTCCGGCGCAACCCCCTCGATTCTGTCGCCCTCTATTTAATGGGCCATTTGGCGTGGGTAGATGAATCAGCCGTTGGGAGAATCGGGGCATAAATTGTGACATTTCCGCAGTGATACGGCCCCGGCAATAATGGACCCCTGATAGGGGAAAGCCTAAGGAGAGAGAGAGAGAGAGAGAGAGCGAGAGAGAGAGAGAGAAACAGCGGAAGAGCCGAATAATGTAGATCAATCAGCGGTGCCGATATGCCATCAGATAATGGGCGCGAATTATCGGGACCCTCGGTGGTTTTGGTGTAATCGTCTGGGAATCAGTTTTTTTGAGGAGAGAGAGAAGGAGAGAGAGAGCGAGAGAGAGAGAGAGAGAGAGAGAGAGAGAGAGAGAGAGAGAGAAAGCGACACAAATATCGCAATTTCCCATCAGCCATATCATTTTCAGGGGTCGGCTGATGGATTTTCTGATTGTTTGTGCCGTGAGGAAAAGTTGAGCTCTCTTATAACCTAAGCCCAAGCCCAACGCTAAGCCTAGGTAAACCTAAGCCCAAGCCTAAGCCTAAGCCTAAGCCCAAGCCGAAGTTCAAGCTTAAGCCTAAGTCTAAGCCTTGTAAGCCCAAGGCTAAGCTTATGCCAATCCTAACATAATTCTAAAGCTAGTTCAGCTCCAACTCTCCAAGAGGATTAGACCTTGACCTAGCTACCGTATCCCCCATTACTTTCCCGAACCCAAATTTCGCGTTCCCCATAATCCAATAAGTATCGTAATCGGGCGGCATCCCGCAAAAAAATAGCTTCCCACCCCCTTCAAAGGGGATTAGCTGCGGCAGCGCTCCTCTCTTTATGATGGCGTGACAGCCGCGTGCGCCTCTTTTCTATATCGTGGCCGCCTTTGCCGAAAATGGAGGTCGATGATTTTTCAGTATTATGAAGCGAGAGAGAGAGAGAGAGAGAGAGAGAGAGAGAGAGAGAGAGAGAGAGGGACCCTCAATCGCGCCTTTCTCATGTCGCCCCGCTGTGCACCCCGGAAAAAAAATCATAGAAATTCATCGAGTGACCGATTTGGCTAGTGGAATTTGCGTACTATGACGTATTGGGGTCGGGGAACTAGTAAAGAATAGAATCTGGAATAAGGCAGGCTAGCAGAGATTCTTGGTAAGGGCAGACTGGCGGAGATTCTTTAGGAAACGGCAGATTCGACCAAGGGCTCCAAGCTCGCTTGGCTAGCTAGCAGCGATCATTGAGGAACTTCAGGCTGCGGCCATTGCAGACTGATCGGATTATTTTTGGGTCTGATTTCCGTTTCACGCCTCTTTACACCCATTAAAGGGGCACGCAACGCAAGATTCTCCGCTTTTTGCCATCATAAAAATTTTTCGAACTTTGAGGTGTCGGCTACATCCTCCCATCCGAGTCGATTCGTTCATTTGGGGGCCCGAGGGCCCAATTCCGGGGGCCCAATTCAAGCCGCTAGGGGCCCAATTGGCCCGTTTTGACGGGTGTTTCCACCCCGGCAAACGCTACCCTGGCGGGATTCCCCGGGGAGGATCTGCGGATTGGCATCGCCGCGTTAACCCGTGGCCTGAGACGTTGGGGAAATTAGCCGGAATTTTGGGGCTAGCATAGAGGATTTGGGAAATGCGGGCTGAGGGCATCGAGCAAGCAGAAGGCCAGCTTGCGGCAGGCTAGCAAAGATCATTTAGGAGATGCAACAACATTAAAATGGGGGAGATCTTTGTGGACCGAGTCGCGAGACGAGGCAGCCTAGCAGAGACGATTTGGGAATTTAGGGGCAAGCTAACAGAGATTCTTTGAGAAAGGTACTAGGAATGGTTGGTGAATTGGGGGCAGGCTAGCCGAGACCCTTAAGGAATGAGATACCTCGGGAAAGCTAGCAGAGACCATTTAGGAAAAGACTACCTAGAGCAGGCTAGCAGGGGTTCTTTGGGCAGCTAGGCAGCCCAGCAGAGATCATTGCGGAGCTTTGCGTCATTTTTTCCCCAGAACGCAGAATCTTCAAAAATCTTCAAAAATAATGGGTATAGGCGTTTTGTAGCTAGAGAGAGAGAGAGAGAGAGAGAGAGAGAGAGAGAGAGAGAGAGAGAGAGAGACCAAATATGCGCGCTTCTCCCCAGGGGATACGATATTTGGGTGGGGGCCCCCTCCCAAAGTGGGCCCCTCATTCAAATGACGAGCCGATTCGCGCGCGCAGAGGGCCCAAAGTAGGGCCCATCCCTGCTTCTCGGCCGGCTCGAACAACCCACAAATTGCCCCCGATTCATCGTCTCCCATCTTCCAAGGAGGAAGGAGAGGAGGGCTCTGGGGGATTTTGAGACTTTAGCCCTCACCCGAGCACCACTAGTTGGAGCGGGAGCCGAAATTGGGTTGAAATGGGAGGGATGGGCTCGGAAATTTAGTTTTAGTGTCTAGTGGAGGGGATGGCAAGCTAGGATGGATTCTTTAGGAAAGGGCAGACTGGCAGAGATTCTTTAGGAAAGGGCAGGCTAGCAGATATTCTTTAGGAAAGGGCAGGCTAGCAGAGATTCTTTAGGAAAGGGCAGGCTAGCAGAGATTCTTTAGGAAAGGGCAGACTAGCAGAGTTTCTTTAGGAAAGTGCAGGCCGGCAGAGACTCGAAAGGAAATTTAAGAGCGCTACAAAATTTCTCTAATTTGCATAAGCACAAAATTTGCATCCGCAATCCCAGGGCTTCCAGGGTTGACACAGAAATTGGCGGCGACCTTGTGCCTCGTTTCTATTAGAGGCGCCGGGGCGGTGCCGCAAAAAAGCGGGAGGTGGGCGCGGAAAAACGATGAGACCCGCCGCGCGCCTCGCGCTCCGCGCCCAGACGCTCAATTCATTTTCATAATTGCGCAGCGAGGTGGAGAAAAGGACGAGAGGGTGACCTCGGATTTTCCGAATCGACGAGGGGTTTTGAAAAAACTGTGCGCTGACCTATTAGGGGGATGGAGGCCAAGCAATTTGGCGTATGCAGGAAGCGTATGCAAATTAGGGGACTAGCAGAGATTCTTTGGGAAAGGGCAGGCTAGCAGAGATTCTTTAGGAAAGGGCAGGCTAGCAGAGATTCCTTAGGAAAGGACTGGCTACCGAAAATTACTAAATTTTCATCGATCGCTGACAATCAGTAGGGCTCCCCCCGAGTAGTGCCGCGTAATTCGCGCGATCCGCACAGCAGGACAGGGCTTATTTGCGCCGTATGTAAATTGCCTCATTGTGGTCGGGTTCTGTCGCTCACTCTCTTTCTCTCGCTCTCTGCCCCTAACATACAATTTGATCAGAATCGACGAGCCACCCAGCCACACGAGCCCAATCACGAGGACTATGCGAAATTGATTTGCTTGGACGAGGGAGAGAAAGCGAGAGAGAGAGAGAGAGAGAGAGAGAGCGAGATAGAGAGAGTGAGAGTTAGAGAGGGAAATATAGGGAAAGAAAGAAAGCGAGAGAGCGAGAGAGAGCGAGACAGAGAGAGCGAGAGATAGATAAAGTGCGAAAGAGCGAGAGAGCGAGAGCGAGATAGAGAGAGAGAGAGGGAGAGAGAGAGAGAGAGAGAAAGAAGAAAGAAAGAAGAAGAAAAACCTGCCTACGGTACGAGTTTTCCAAATTACGACGCCTACAATTACGGCACCATCCCCAAAAAAGCGCAATTCTGAGCGATAGATGACAATAGCGTGTTTTTACGATTTCTGGGCGCGCGCTCCGCAAGCCGCGAAAAACCGTAAAATTATATTATTTGGACGGGGCGCATTTTCCCGGGGGAATTTATGGCCATTTATTTCGGAGGGCAAGCGCGAAAGCAGGGCGCTATTCATGTTGGGGGATCTGGAGAAAAACGATTTAAAAAAAGCGTACAGTTTATACAGATTACGAGCGCTGCACCCAATCTTAATTTATTAAACTTTGGCTTTAAAAAAATTCAAAAAATGCAATTTCCCTAAAAAACACACCTTCACTCCAAGTACCATCGATTGGAAGCCAGGTGGGAGCGTCGTGGCAGAGGAGATGAGCTGAAATGAGGTAATAAAGTCGGCTTTGGGCTTAGGCTTAGCTTAGGCTTAGCTTAGGCTTAGCTTAGGCTTAGCTTAGGCTTAGCTTAGGCTTAGCTTAGGCTTAGCTTAGGCTTAGCTTAGGCTTAGCTTAGGCTTAGCTTAGGCTTAGGCTGGCCTTAGGCTTAGGAGGCTTAGGATTACGCCTAGGCTTAGGCTTAGGAATAGACTTCGGCTAAGGCTTGGCTTAGGCTTCGGCTTAGGAATAGGCTTAGGAATAGGCTTAGGCTTAGGTTTCGGCTCCAAAAACTCACAAACTGCTTCGGCTTTATGCTGAGTAACAAGGGCGCAGATCCGGCAGACCATCTGGAAGAGCGGTTGGCGGAGGGTGGAACGGTGCTGAACACCCTCGCAGTGCTCGCGGAGGATGGAGGAGCTGAAAAATACGAATAGGGGCAGCCTAGCAGAGATCCTTTAGGAAAGGGCAGGCTAGCAGAGATTCTTTAGGAAAGGGCAGGCTAGCAGAGATTCGTTAGGAAAAGGCAGGATAGCAGCGACAATTCAGGAAACCAGCAGTCTCACCTCGGAAAGAATTCTTGACACGGTCGGCACAACACTTGGAACGGGCCCTTCGAGGCGGCCAGCCGGCAGAGATTTGCGTTTTGGTGTGTTTGCCCCTCGCGCATGTGGTTCACCTAAAAAAAAGAGGTTTTTCGAACAGCGAGGGAGAGCGAGCGAATGAGAAGGAGAGGAGAGAGAGAGAGAGAGAGAGAGAGAGCGAGAGAGAAAGCTCTACCAGAAAAGACGTCAAATTTCCGTACCATCTGAACGCGTTGAATATGTTTGTCGGTGCGGGTGTGCAGTTGGAAATTGGCTTTGAGGTTGGTTTTGTAGGGGCAGAGGTGGCAGATGAAGACGCCTGACACGGCCGAGACGTCACCCATGCAAATTCCGCTACGATCCTAAAGCCAAAGGGATCGATGAGAGGTTCATTTAAGCCGTTAGGAAACCTGTGAGAGAGCAAGAGAGGGCGAGAGAGAGAGTGAAAGTGAGCCGGAGAGATAGATGGGGAGAGAGACAGAGAATGAGAGAGAGCGGCAAAGAGGTATCAAGAGAGAGATAGAGAGAGCGAGAGTGAGGGAGAGAGACAAAGAGAGACAGAGAGAGAGGGTATGAGAGGACGAGAGAGAGAGAGACCAACTTTTTCAGCATGCTCCAAAATGTCCCTCAACGAATCCGTGGTGAAACTGCTGCAGACTCCGCACGAGAACGTTTTTTCCGTTTGCGAAGAATGTTGTTGCGACATGGAGGCTGCTTGGCCGGCGCCGCCCGGTCCGGTGATGCTCTGACTTACTAAAAATTGAGGATATAACGAATTTCAAATGATCTCTGCTAGCCTCGCTAAATTCCCAAATGCTCTCTGCTAGCTTACCGATCGTAACGATTGAAATTTGTCTAAAAAATCACCTAAGGAACTCGGCAGCTCCTGAACGGCGTGGAGATGTTTGTCGCTTTGCATGTGAATCGACAGGTTGCCCTTGGTGGTCGTGCTGAAAATTCAATTAAGTTCAAAAATACGGCGCGCTACGGTTAGTTCGGTGCTTTTAAAAATGCTAAAAATAAAATTAAAATTAGAAAACTTCTGAAAAATAAAAAATTATTTTTAAGGATAGAGGTTTCAGTTAAAGTAAATCTATCAAAATTTGTTAATTCCGGCAAGCTACCGTAATCTTTTTAGATAAGGTGATCCTCACCTATACTTGCAAAGTTCACATCGATAGGGCTTGTAGCCGCAGGAGTAGGTCTCGCCACGGCTCAACTTTGGGTGCGGTCGATTCTCCACGCAGTAGAGGCAGCGGACCTGAAAATTTGGGAATTTATATCTCTCCTCTCCCTCTATCTCTGTTTCTCGCTCTCGCTCTCTCTCTCGCTCTATCTCCCACTCCTGTTCCGACCGCTTTAAAAATCATACCTCAGTCTCCGAGTGCTTCTCCTTCATGTGGATCTCGAGCGTCTCCTGGTACTTGTAGTGCCAATTGCATTTCGGGCACTGAAAAGAAATCATAGCCTTTCTATGACGCTCTCTCCCTCTATCCCTCTCTCTCTATCCTTCTCTCTCTCTCTCTCTCTCTCTCTCTCTCTCTCTCTCTCCTCCCCCCCCCCCCCCCCCCCCCCCCCCCCCCCCCCCCCCCCCCTCCCCTCTCCCACTCTCTCTATCTCTAGCTTTTTGCGAATCCCTCAATAATTCTCCCAAAATTTCGCTCAACCTCCATTCGCCAATTTTTCATTGAGGAGCCAAGTCTACCGTTAATCCCGCTCGAATGAAAATCCGGCCGAAAAGTCGAAATCTGGATTTTCGTAGGGATCAGCGTACGATAAGCCAAGCTTTCCGTTCTCTCTCCCCCCCGAGAGAGAGAGAGAGAGAGAGAGAGAGAGAGAAAGAGAGAGAGAGCGCGCGCGCGAGAGGGGAGAGAGAGAGATAGCGAGAGAGAAAGTGAAAGAATTTCAGATCCACTCTCATTAGTAAGGTCGACTTTTCGTTATCTATCTCTCTCTCACACTACCTCTCTCCCTCTCCCCCTCTCTCTCCCTATCTCTCTCCACCTTTCCAAAAACAAAATACGGAAATTAGCCGCGGCTCAGCCGATTCCTTTTAGGCTTTCGGGGGGCGGCGAGGGTGGATTTGGCAGTTTTGATTGGAGATATCTCCTGATGAATGGCCACTCCGGAGTTTTATCGGAAAACAGAATTAGGTCCCAGAAAGTACACTAAGAATGTAAAACTGCCTAGAATCAGTGGCGAATATGTTTTCATGCAAATTCAGCCATGGAGAGGGAGTGAGAGAGAGGGAGAGAAAGAGAGAGAGAAAGAGAGAGAGAGAGAGAGAGAGAGAGAGAGAGAGAGGGAGAGATTTCTAGTATATTAAGTCCGCAAAAATCACCTTCAACGTCTTGCTCGAATTCCGCAACGCTGCCATACCCAGATCCAGCGGCGAGTTGAAGAGGTGCCCAAAATCGAAGGGGTTGGGTACGGTAGACGGTTCCGGGTCGGGTCCCAGTTGGAAGGCGGGCTGGCGTTGCTCATCTGGAAATACGGTAAACTTATCCATTCCCAAGGTAATCTCTGCTAGCCTGCCATTTCCTAAAGAATCTCTGCTAGCCTGCCATTTCCTAAAGAATCTCTACTATCCCGCTCTAGAAGCTCGGTATTTTCGAGGGAATCCGACCCCCGGCGGCAAATTAGTGGAATTAGGGGCATCTCGTAGCCACCCAGGGGATTTGCCTTTTTCTGGCCACTAGCTTCTCATCCCCCTAAAGAGCATCCGGGGGATAGACCGCCGTGAAGCCCAAATTAATTCCCAAAATTGCCTCAGCTACCCCGGGAAAACAGACTTGAGGCCGATGCAGTAAGGCATTAAGGCTGGGCTTAGGCTTAGGCTTCGGCTTAGGCTTAGGCTTAGGCTTAGGCTTAGGCTTCGGCTTAGGCTTAGGCTTAGGCTTAGGCTTAGGCTTAGGCTTGGACTTAGGCTTAGGCTTAGGCTTGGGCTTGAGCTTGGGCTTGGAATTAGGCTTAGTTTTGGGCTTGGGTTTGGGCTTGGCCTAGGCTTAGGTTTAGGCTTGGGATTAGGCTTGGGCTCAGGCTTAGAAAGCTAGCAGAGGTAGCTTGTCAAACCCCCAAAAACTGACCTAGCTGCCCGAAGCTGTTGAGAATGTTCCTGAGGCTCAGCTCCATCGCGGCTCCACCGTTTTGCTGTCGATTTTGGGCTGACGGCGATCGGCTGGTGCCTCCAGAATCCGTCGACGACGAAGACGGGCCCGCCTGGGTGTCCAGCCTGCAAAAAACAACGTTTTAAAGGTTTCGTGAAAGCGAAAAAGTTCTTTTTAAAGGGCCGGACAAGTTGGAAAATCTTCTTTAAAGGTGTACCAGGGTTGAAAAACCGCTTCGCGGCTTTTCCACCCTGGCCCCGTCTAGGACCTATGAAAGTATTGGCTTTGCATAATCCTTGTCGGAAAACTATCAGCAAAAATGAAAACCACGCCCTCCCTTCCTTTTATAAGCCACCGCCACTTCCCGTGTATGGTAATTTCTCCCTAACAAAGAGGGACGCGAAGATTTTTACAAAAACCTAATTTTAATAGCGAAAATCGAAATTTTTCAAAGATTTTAAGTGTGTGCAGTCGATTCCGGCTCCTTCTTTACCCTATGACGTTTCTTCCCTACCGAAAAAATGCTTCTTTGAGGCTGTAGGTGCGGAACATCCAAACGGAAGTGCATGCAAATATACACACACACACACACACAGACACTATTTTTTTATATATAGTAGGATCGGCGGAAAAATGTGTTTTAAAGGGTCAGTGCAGGCAAGGAAGCAATGTTAAAGGCACCCGGGAGTCAGAAAAAATAATTTTTAGGGGGCCAGTGAAGGTGAGAAGTGTCTTAACAGCGTCAGAAAAAGCGCGAAATTTACTTTAAAGGAGTGGAGAAGGCAAAATATCGATTTTAAATGGCCAGTGAAGATAAAAATATTCTTAAGAGAGCAGACAGGCCTGAAAAATGGCTTTCAAGGTCAAACGTTGATTGCAAGAAAATATACGCTACCAAGGCTTTTTAAAGGAACCAGCAAGCCAAAAAAGCTCAAAAATTCTGATAATCAGAATCAATAAATTAGCACTAATAACAAATTGACGGAGCCGACGATTTTTCGAAGCGCTGCGGGACCCGCGCTCGTTAATCCCAGGGCCGGATGTCGATTACCAGCATTAGGAGGATTAAGATTTGGCATTAGAATCCCCCGCCAGTACCGGTATTCTGAATAAACCCCTAATTTGAGGGGGTAATCTTCGACTTTCGGGAAAAGAGAGAGAGAGAGAGAGCGACAGACAGAGATAGCGAGAAAGAGAGAGCGAGAGAAAAACGTACCCATACTGCGCGAGGTGCTGCAGGCTGAAATCCGACATGGCCCTTCTTGGAGTTGTTGTCGTCACTCAGGCATTTTCTATAAAAAAAATATGTAATGTAAATTGCATAAACACACCAGAAATTGGAAAATATTATAGAAAACATACGAAATACTATAAAAACCAAAATAGACGAGAGAGAGCACGAGAGAGAGCGGAAACCCGAAAGCGAGAGAAAGAGAAACGCGAGAGAGAAAGAGAGGAAGAGGAGAGAGAGAGAGAGATCAAAAATGAAGGAGGCGATAGACGAAAAGCCAAAAATGTCGCGTAAATGCCAGAAAATACGGCAATCGGCCCCCAGATGCCATAGTCTCCACCGTAAGTAGTAGCATCCCGGAGAATGCCTAACAAAACAAAACACACAAAAAATCACCCAATCCGTTCTATGGGATCGCGCGCCTCCGATTCCGCGAAAATAGAATGGTGGAAAGCTCGCGGCTAATCCCTATTTAATTTATCCTCTAATTCCGGATACCCAGAGGCTGACATTGCGAGGGTGGAGGGGGCTGAAAGTCGCAACCTCCGGAAATTTTTGTAATCAAAACGGAGTATGGACGCCCTCATCTCGTCTGTTTTTATTGTTTTCGAAAAGTCAAGGCAAGAAATTGGAAACCGGATGGAGCGGAATAAACAGCATCTGAAAAAACGGTTGCTACCGTAACCTTGCTGACCAGAAGTGGAGATTACAGCTGTATACAGAAGGAATGAAGCGGATTGAAACGGAATCGCAAAATCGTGCAAAATACCGTATCCAGCTTATCGTAAATTGGGAAAATTATGGACTACAGTATCGCACATAAAATTTGTGTTTATTATGATAAAATGCATTATGATAAAATCAAAAATAAACCTGAAAATGACCGGACGTTGGATCCTACTGTGCCGCAAAGCCGAAAAATCGGAAGCCACGATCGTTTTTTATCAGCTAGAAACGCATAAGAACTCAATAAAAACGGTTTTAATAGTGTTTTTAGTAATATATAACTAAATTCCACCCGGAAAAAAAGATCCAAAAACTTTAAAAAAGTCGAAATTTTGGTCAAATCGGGCATTTTTGGCCGAAAAATCGATATTTTGTATATTTTTAATAACACTTTGTAAACTTTTCACGTTTATGTAACGTAAAAAAATCATTAGAGACACTTCAACTATTTATGTTCTAAAAATTAGGTGCTAAGAAAAATTTTGGACAAAGTCGCATCAAAATTCCCAAAATCTGGCTCTACAGTAACCTCAGGAAAACCGGAACTCAAAAATAGCCAAGCCGGCGAAATTTGGCCCTCGGAAACGCCATTAATAAACCCTAGGAAAACGATGATTTCCCGGGGTGGCCCCCCAGAATAGGCAATAAGCCGATTCCGGCGCCGCGACGCAACGTATTTTGTTGTTTATCGTACGCGTCGATTAATGACGATTTTCCACTATACACCCCCTCATTACACCCCGAAAAAGCTCGGGGATCATCCCCGACTTTCGCGGTTTGAACGTCTCGAAATTGACGATTACGCGCTGCTACGTAATGACGGTTGAAGCGTATTAAGAAAGTGCTACGGTAGCTGGGCGTAAAAAGATCAGAAAGTTAGGCTTAGGCTTGAGCTTATGCTAAGGCTTAGGCTTAGGCTTCGTTTCGGCTTAGGCTTCGCTTAGGCTTTGGCTTAGGCTTAGGCTTCGCTTAGGCTTTGGCCTAAGCTTAGGCTTCGCTTAGGCTTTGGCTTCGTTTCGGCTTAGGCTTCGCTTAGGCTTTGGCTTCGGCTTAGGCTTCGCTTAGGCTTAGGCTTAGGCTTAGGCTTCGTTTGGGCTTTGGCTTCGGCTTAGGCTTCGCTTAGGCTTAGGCTTAGGCTTAGGCTTCGTTTGGGCTTTGGCTTCGGCTTAGGCTTCGCTTAGGCTTTGGCTTCGGCCTAGGCCTCGCTTAGGCTTTGGCTTAGGCTTCGCTTAGGCTTAGGCTTCGCTTAGGCTTAGGCTTCGGTTAGGCTTTGGCATAGGCTTAGGCTTAGGGTTAAGTTTAGGCTTAGGCTTAGGCTTTACTTTAGGCTCAGCTCAGGATTGAGCTTGGCTTTACGCTATGGAATTCTCCAAAAATACAAAACGTTAGGTCTTATTGCAGCGAGGTTCTGACCCGAATCTCAAAAAATCCCCGCTTGGATTAGCTGGGGGGTAGAAAATCCGGACCCAATTCGGATTTGGATTTGGAGCTGGATCTATCTATCTTTCGGGCCGGATCAGCTCTTTTGCCCGGGTGATTATGGTAGACTTATCTAAGCAATTTCGGTTTCAGGGAGCGGGTCGTCGCCGAGAAAAACATTATTTAGGAAGAGGCAAACTAGCAGAGATTCTTGAGGAAAGGGCAGGCCAGCAGAGATTCTTTAGGAAAGGGCAGGCTAGCAGAGATTCTTTAGGAAATGGCAGGCTAGCAGATATCGTCGAGACGATCCCAATTAATTTCCATCTGATGTGTTAGACGATGTGTTGGCCAGCGCCAGCTAGCCAACCCCGGCCGGGTGGAGCAATTAGCGGATGGGTCGGAGGGGGAGGTGGTCGTTCGTTGGTTAGAAGTGTAGAGAAGGGGGGATGGGCCACATCCCCCAAAGACTCCCCTTCACTCCTAATTGCGTTAATCGGATCGACTAAAGGGGGGTAGAGGGGGGTAGGGGAGGGCCCCCTATGTCCTCTGCACATCCCTAACATCGGCGCTACCTTCTGGCGGATTTGGAAATTGGGGGTTGATAAGGCTTAGGCTTGGGCTTAGGATTCGGTCTAGCCTTAGGCTTCGTTTAGGCTTTGGCTGAGGCAGAGGTTAGGCTTCTTAGGCGTATACTTAGGCTTATGCTTAGGCATAGGCTTAGGCTTAGACTTAAGATTAGGCTTAGTCTTAGCTTTAGGCTTAGGCTTAGGCTTAGGCTTAGGCTTTGGCTTAGGTCAGGCTTAGGCTTAGGCTTAGGCTTAGGCTTAGGCTTAGGCTTAGGCTTAGCTTAGGCTAGGCTTTGGCTTAGGCTTAGCTTAGGCTTAGGCTAGGCTTAGGCTTAGGCTTATGCCTAGGCTTAGGCTTAGGCTTAGCTTAGGCTTAGTCTTAGTCTTAGGCTTAGGCTTAGGCTTAGGCTTAGTCTTAGCTTTAGCCTTAGGCTTCGCTTAGGCTTAGGCTTAGGCTTAGGCTTAGGATTAGGCTTAGGCTTAGGATTAGGCTTAGTCTTAGCTTTAGGCTTAGTCTTAGGCTTAGTCTTAGGCTTAGGCTTAGGATTAGGCTTAGTCTTAGCTTTAGCCTTAGGCTTCGCTTAGGCTTAGGCTTAGGCTTATGCTTAGGTTTAGGCTTAGGCTTAGTCTTAGCTTTAGGCTCAGGCTGAGGCTTAGGCTTAACTTTTAAAGGGAGCTGAAAGCCTACCAAAGTGAAATTAAGTACAAAAAACTAGACGGTCTAGAATCCAACTTTTTGCCGAGAAAAACAATTGCTGAAAGCGGCAATCTGGGGTTTTGGAAATGTAATAGAAATGGATTAGTGTTATCGGAATGGGCGGATCTGGAGATTTGGAGGCTTTGCCGGCTGTGGAAATGTGGTGATTATTTGTATAGAGAAATTAAGCTGGTGGAAGAGAGAAAGGATGAGAGAGAGAGAGAGAGAGATAGAGAGAGAAAGCTCCAAAACACATCTTCCTCAAGCCATGTAAATTAGAGCAAATTTCACAAGTTGAAGTGAAGCCGACGGGCTGCGTAGTCGCGAATTTGGGGGAAAGAGAGGGGGAGGAGGCGGATTGAGGGTGCTAACAAGTCTTGGTTCCT